GGCAGTAGGTGGAAGTTGAAAAAAGAGGAAGGGAGTAGGTGGCAAGAGAGAAAAAAAGAAAGAAGAAGGAGTAGATGGAAATTTGAAAAAAGAAGAAAGGGAGTAAGTGGAAAGAGAAAAAAGAAAGGAAAGTGAGTAGATGGAAGTGTGAAAAAAAGAAGAAAGGGAGTAGGTGGAAAGAGAGAAAAAAAGAGAAGGAGTAGGTGGAAGAGACAAAAGGAAGGAAAGGCGAGCGTGTGCGAGAGTGAAAAAAGAAGAAAGGGAATAAATGGAAAGTCAGAAAGAGAGACAAGGGAAGTAGGTGGAAAGTGAAAAAAAAGAAAGGGAGGTGGTGGAGAGTGAAAAGAAGAAAAGGGAGTAGGCGTGGAAAGAGAAAAAAGAAGAAGAAAGGGAGTAGGTGGAAAGAGAAAAAGAAGAAGAAAGGGAGTAGATAGAAGTGGAAGAGGGTGGAAGAAAGATAAAAAGTGAACGGAATAAATGAAATGAAAAAGAAGATGAAAGGAAGAATAGGTGGAGAGTGAAAAAAGTAGATGAAAGGGAGTCATTATTATTATTGTTATTATTAATAGCAAAACTATTTTCATTATCATTATCATTATTAATTAGTTTTTAATAATCTATATCATTATCATCATCGTTATTAACATTATTATTATCATCATCATTAAAATCCTTACAACTATCATCATCATCATCATCATCATCATTACTAACACCAATCATCATTACCCTCCCCATTACCATCACCATTACTTAAAATTATTAACAAACAGCAAATAAACCAGAATATATCAATAAATAAATCAATAAATCAATCATCATTACCCACATCATCATCATCACCATTACTTAAGTATGGAACAACACAAATAAAAGAGAATAGACGAAAATAAAAAAAAACACAAATATCACGAAAGGCACACTCAAGCCTTTGCCACCAACATAAAATTTCCGGCGTCAATTAACGGAGAGTCTCGGCGACATTGTTAGTAGAAGTGGGAAGAGATGAAGAGGAGAGGAGGGAGGAGGGAGGGAGGGAGAGAGGGAGGGAGAGGGAGGAGGGTGAGGGGAGAGGGAGGGAGGGGAGGGGAGAGGGGGAGGAGGGAGAAGGAGAGGGTGAGGGGGGGGAGGGAGGAGAGGGAGGGAGGGTTAGGGAGAGGGGGAGGGAGAGATGAAGAGGAGAGGGAGGGCGGAGGGTGAGAGGGAGGGAGGAGGGAGAGGGAGGGAGATGAGGGGACGAGGGGAGGGAGGAGCGAGGGATGGAGGGATGGAGGGAGAGAGGGAGGGAGAGGGAGAGAGGGAGAGAGGGGGAAGGGAGAGAGGAGAGGGAGAGGGGCAGAGATGGAGGGAGGGAGGGAGATGAAAGGAGGGTGAGGGGGAGGGAGGGAGGGACAGAGGAGGGGAGAGAGAAAAGAGAGAGGGAGGGAGAGAAACGGAGGGAAGAAGGGACGGAGGGACACACAGAGAGAGAGAGAGAGGAGAGAGAGGAGAGAGAGAGAGAGAGAGAGAGAGAGAGAGAGAGAGAGAGAGAGAGAGAGAGAGAGAGAGGAGAAGAGAAAGAAGGAAAAAAGTACAATGTCAACAAATGATAAGCCAAACAAACAAACAAACAAACACAGAAACAACACCGAATCCCTCCAAACAACAAACAACAAACCACAAACCAAAAAACCCCCCAACCCCACCCCCCCTCCCCCTTCTCCTCCTTCCTTCCTTCAAAAAAAAAAGTAAAAAAAAAAAAAAAAAAAAAAAAAAATCTTTTTCTCTCGCCTCTCTTCCCTGGGTCTCGGTTCGCTCAACAATAAAAATCCCGCCGGCGATTTTATAATCCCGGGGAATGCAGGCGCCGTGACAGACATACGAGGTTCCTCCAGCCGTTGCAGAAAGGCTCTAACGCTCACAGATATCTTTAAGCACACACGCACACGCATGCACACACATGTACGTACGCACATGCGTTTTTTTATGTGCGTAAACACGTATTTACAATTGTATAAAAAGATACATATGTACTGTCTATCTTTCTATCTATTTGTGTATCTGTCCAGTTATCTATCTAGCAGTCTATCTATCTGTTTATCTATCTATCTATCTATCTATCTATCTATATATCATATAAACAAGCTCACAGAGATGTATAAACACACATGCACAAATATTCATTTACACACAGACAAACACACACACACACACACACACTCTCTCACACACACACACAGACAAACACACACGCACACACACACACACAAACACACACACACACACACACACACACACACACACACACACACACACACACACACAAACACACACACAAACACACACAGCACACACACACACACACACACACACACACACACACACACACACACACACACACACACACACACACAGAGACAAACACACACACAAACACACACACACAAACACACACACACGCTCTCTCCTTCTCCTGCCTCACCTTTAAGCGAACGAGAGAGTGTGTGAGACTAATAAAGATTATTCACCGGAACAATTAACTTATTGACAGAAATGATTTTAATATTCCCGAATCGAAGAAAGAAAGAAAAAAAAAGAAAGAAAAGAAGAGAAAGGGGAAGGATAATATTTTCGTTATTTCCTTTTTATAATGGTTATTTGGCTTAGAATATTAATTGATTTTCTTTTTTAATACAGCGCTTATGAATCATGAAAAGGACTTTGTTGTCATTTGCTGTTTTCTTTTCTTTTGTCCATCACTAACATTTATCTTGGTATTTTTTGGTTTTCATGTCTAATTCTATCATCATTATTATCATTATGAGTTGTTATTATCATTTTTTACGTTTGTCCACTTGTTTTTCATTGACTTATCGAATAAATAAATAGCGAAGCCTTTAAAAAAAAACTAAAAGATGCTTAGATTTTTCTCGAATATACCCATAGCGACTTAAAGACCAATAAAGGCGAAAAGGTTTAAAAAAAAGGGCTAAAAGGGGTATGGAAATTCACACCACCCCTCCCTTATACCTCCCTCCCCCTCCCCCCTTCCCCATCAGGATCATAAACAACAAGGGCAAACGTCGACCTAATCTCAACCGGGCATAAGGTCAGAAATGGCTCGTGCGTGATTTCCTCAGCGTTGCAAACGTCCCAGAGGAATATCATTCGGCGAGTGTTTTAGTTCAACTATTGGAAAATGAACCCTGGCCGGGGGAGGGGGGGGGGGGGGTTGTTTGTGTTCAGCGTTGCCAGCGGCGGATGGGCGTGTCCTTATGGTGCCGGCGCTCTGCTGGCTGGCTACACTGCGTCGGGAGTATGTGTGTAGTTGAGAGAGAAGAATAAGAATCTAGAGAGAAAGAAATGGCGTGTCTCTTGCGATTATTTAATGACTGGGGGACTTTCATTCTCTTTCCTTCTCCTACTCTTTCCTTTCGCTTTTATTTTTCTGAGAGAGAGAGAGAGAGAGAGAGAGAGAGAGGAGAGAGAGAGAGAGAGAGAGAGAGAGAGAGAGAGAGAGAGAGAGAGAGAGAGAGAGAGAGAGAGAGAGAGAGAGAGAGAGAGAGAGTCAGAGACAGAGAGACAGAGACAGAGACAGAGACAGAGACAGAGACAGAGACAGAGAAAGAGAAAGAAAGAAAGAGAATGCCTGAGAGTGAGAGAGAGAAGCAGATACCAGTTCTACTCCCAACATCCTCCACATTAATATAGTACCATAATACTGCACCTGGGAACGAACCTTAGCGAAAAAAAAAAATTCCAAATTACACTAGATTTACTACAAATTACACAGATTACACACAACCCCCCCCAAAAAAAAAAAAAAAAAAAAAAAAAAAAAACATATTTATGTAGAAGTCATCCACGCTACAGCATTATCTATTTTAACGAGATACTCATTAGAGCGCAAAGAGCAAGTATGACGTAACAACTTTATCCCAGTCCTTTAATACACTGAAATAATCGTTAATTGGCCTGCATTTTAACGACCTTGGCTGCATGTACTTCGTTAATTAGTACATAGGAAAAGAAAAGCTGGTAAAAAAATAATATAAAACAAGAAAACAAACGTAAAGACAAGGAAACACTTACATCATTATAATTTTACATTTACTTAGAGAATATCAAAAAAATAAGCATTAATAGGTAGGCTGCTATTCAGTGAGTCACGCAGTTCACTTATAAAAACTAACGCAATCAAGTACAGTTAACTTATTAAACACCGTCTGGGAGCATCAATCAAATTAGTACGGTATACTTTCACCTTCCTATCTATTTTCCCTCTTTATTCTTCATTAGAATCATATCTAGCTTTGGTCAAGAATCCCTGTCCTGTGGTATCCCTATATTATTTTCTTAGACACGAGGATGCCTAAAAAAAAAAAAAGAAAAAAAGAAAAAAAATACTGTTTTTGGCCGGATGCAATTTAGGTATATGGGAAGGATGAACATTTACCTTTCTTGCTCTAGCCATACAGTCCTGCTCTCCCCCTCCCCTCCTCCCCAACCCCCCGAACCCCTAGCCTTCCCCCATGTCCCTTTACCCCCCCTCTCTCTAGCCCCAGAAGAGAGGCTACGCTACTCTATGGGGCGAGAGTAGGAAACGATATATATATAATCTCTCTTTGTGTCTGTCTGTCTGTCTGTTTGACTGTCTGTCCGTCTGTCTGTTTGACTGTCTGTCCGTCTGTGTTTGACAGTCTCTCTCCCTCTCTCTCTCTCTGTCTCTGTCTCTCTCCTTCCCTTTCTCTACCCCTCCTTCCCTCTCACCCGCCCACCCACCCTTCCTCACTGTCACTCAAACACACACTTCCCCCAACACCCTCACCCCACACCCACACCCACACCCTCACCCACACCCTCACCCACACCCACACCTTCACCCACACCACACCCACACCCACACGACACAGAGCACGGTTCCCAAAGGCCACTTTTACAAGCCCGCCGGTGGAGATGGCCCTCCGAACCACCCCGGCCACAGTGATGCCAGGAGTGCCATCAGGCCATAAGGGACAATCATGGTGTCCCGCAGTGCAGTATTCAGCACCCAGAGGCAACACTGCTGGAACTGGGAGGGGAGGGAGGGAGGAGGGAGGGAAGGGAGGGAGGAGGGAGGAGGGAGGGAGGAAGGAGGAGGGAGACAGGAAGGGAGAGGGAGGCAGGGAGGAGGGAGGGAGAGGAGGGAGAGACAGGAAGGG